CTGTGCTTAGTCGCTCAGTCGTGTCTGCCTTTTTGTGACTCCATGGACTATGGCTCTCCAGGCTCCTCTGTCCATGGGGATATTCCAGGCAGAATACTGGAATGGGTAGACTATTCCTTCTCCAGGGGATCTTCCCCACCCAGGAATCAAACCTAGGGTCTCCTGCATTGCAGGTGGATTTTTTAAAAGCTGAGTTACACTGGGAGCCCTGGACTCCTGTATTGTCTCTCAAATTTGCTCTTTTGTGTTCTTTTAATCTCTTTATTTTCGACTTCCCTGGTGGCTCAGTGGGGTGAAGAATCTGCCTGCAATGCAGGTCAGGTCAGGAAGATCCCCTGGAAAAGGAAATGGCAACCAACTCAGTATTCTTGCCTGGGAAATCCCATGGAGAGAGGAGCCTGGCAGGCTGCAATACATGGGGTCACAAAAGAGTCAGGCATAACTTAGCAACTAAACAAGAACAACAATCCATTTAATTTTCTGGGGAAGTCCTCCCAACTTTATTTTACAACTATTTTAGTAAATCTTAGTAAATTTCTAAAAATCAATTTTTCAAAAACATCTAATACCACTCTCTCTTTCTCTGTTAGTTCCTTTTTCTTTGTAACCAGGGGTGCAATGTGTGTTCTCAAATCTCTCTAAAAATATTAGAGGTTTTGGAAGTTTCTCCTATTTCCTACAATATCTCTGTTTCTCCTGGGGTATGACATTTTTCTCTTTTTAGTGTTATTCTTTCTTCCTGAAGTTGGAGAATTTCTTCAAAAGTCTGCTGATCTGTGGTTATCTGTTTCTACTTAAGAGGAGGCACTGGAAATCAATGCATCTGACTCACCAAATTAAAGAATAAAGAAGGAAAACCATATGAACACCACAATAGGTGCATTTCATAATACTCAACATCTGAGCATGATAAAACTCTCAGCAAACTAGTAACAAACAGAAAATTCCTCTGTCATGTGTGTGTATCTGTGTATGACATCATACTTGATGCATTAAATACATTAAATGCATTTTCTCTAAGGCTAGAAACAACATAAGGAAGAAAGAAAAAAGAAACAGTTTTGGAAAGGAAGAAGCAGAAGAGTTTTATTTTCTGCTGGCATGGTTATTTTTTTCTATGAAATCCAAAAGTAGTCTACAAACATATTACTGGAATACATGAATTTAGGAAGGTCATGAATACATGGTTACTGTTTCTTAAAATCAATTCTATGTTCATACAGCTGTTAGAAATAATTTAAAAAGCAGTATCACTTAAAGTAGGCTCCCAAAGAATAAAATAGCTAAGAAGAAGTTTAAGGAAAGAAGTGTATGACTCCTCTGTGTGTATGTGTGTGTGTGTGTTTGTGTGTGTGTTCAGTCATGTTTAACTCTTTGCGAACCTATGGACTGCAGCCCGCCAGGCTTTTCTGTCCATGGAATTTCCCAGGCAAGAACACTGGAGTGGATTGACATTTCTTACTCCAGGAGATCTTCCCGACCCAGGAATCGAGCCCACATCTCTTGCATCTCCTGCTTCGGCAAGCAGGTCCTTTACCACTGTGCCACCTGATACTGAAAGCTACAAACACTTCTAGCAAGATTAAGGAAAATTAAACAAATGGGTTGAACTCAATGTTGTTAAGATGTCACTTTCCACCAAATGAATCCAAAAGGGTTTGCATTTACTTTCGATGCAAACCCTATAAAACTCAAAAAGGCTTTTCTTGTAAACATTGACAAATCAATTTTAAAAGATATGTGGACATATATATGGAATTTAGAAAGATGGTAACGATAACCCTATATGCAAAAAAAGAAAAAGAGACTCAGATGTATAGAACAGACTTGTGGACTCTGTGGGAGAAGGCGAGGGTGGGATGTTTCAAGAGAACAGCATCGAAACATGTATATTATCTAGGGTGAAACAGATCACCAGCCCAGGTTGGATGCATGAGACAAGTGCTCGGACCTGGTGCACTGGGAAGACCCAGAGGGATCAGGTGGAGACGGAGGTGGGAGGGGAGATCGGGATGGGGAATACATGTAAATCCATGGCTGATTCATGTCAGTGTATGACAAAAACCACTGCAATGTTATAAAGTAATTAGCCTCCAACTAATAAAAATAAATGGAAAAATAAATAAATAAAAGATATGTGGAAAACCAAAAGACGTAGAAAATCGAAGGTTATATTTTCCTAATTGACTTCAAGTCTTTCTATATGCTGTAGATTCAGATCAATACACTGTTGGCATAAGAGTAGGCAAACAGACAAATGGCACAGAGTAGAAAATCTAGAAATAGAACCAGGTTTACATTTTAAATTAATTTTTGAATATTTTAATTGGCTTGGGGGAGGCAAAGATTTTTCAGATAGTACCCTAAAGTTGTTAGCCACAGAAGAAAAAAATGACAGCTTTGGCTTTGTCAAAATTAAAAATTTCTCCTCATCAAAACACATGGTTAAGGAAATGAAAGCAAACCACAAAATGGGTGAAAATATTCACAATACATTGCTGTTGCTGTTCAGTTGCTCAGTCATGTCCAACTCTTTGTGACCCTATGGACTGTAGCATGCCAGGATTCCCTGTCCTTCACTATCTCCTGGAGTTTGCTCAAACTCATGTCCGTTGAGTCAACGATGCCACCCAACTATCTCATCCTCTGTCACCCCCTTCTCCTTCCCTCAGTCTTTCCAAGCATCAGGGTCTTTTCCAATGAGTTGGCTCTTCAAATCAGGTGGCCTAAATGTTGGAGCTTCAGCTTCAGCATCAGTCCTTCCAATCAATATTCAGAGTTGATTTCCTTTAAGATTGACTGATTTGATCTCCTTGCAGTCCAAGGGACTCTCAAGAGTCTTCTCTAGCACCACAGTTCAAAAGCATCAATTCGTTGATGCTCAGCCTTCTTTATGGTCCAACTCTCACCTCCATACATGACTACTGGAAAAACCAGTTTTGACTATACAGACTTTTGTCAGTAAAGTGATATCTCTGCTTTTTTAATACCCTGTCTAGGTTTGTCACAGATTTTCTTCCAAGGAGCAAACGTCTTTTAATTTTGTGGCTGCTGTCATTGTCCACAGTGATTTTGGAGCCCAAGAAAATAAAGTCTGTCACTGTTTCCCTGTCCATTTGCCATGAAGTGATGGGACTGGATGACATGATCTTAGTTTTTGAATGTTGAGTTTTAAGCCAGCTTTTTCACTCACAGTATGTATATTAAACAAAATGTTTCTTTTATAATATGTACAAACTTCTACACATCAATAAATAATAAAAGACAACCCAATAATATAAATGGGCCAAAGGCTTGAAAAGGCATTTCAAAAAAGGAGATTATGAATAGCCAATGAGCAAATGGAAGTGTGCTCAATATTATCAGTCATTAAAAAAGTACAGGTTAAAACTGTATAAAATACTGTATTACACATTATAGACTAAAATGGCTAAAACTAAAAAACCTATTTCTAACAGATTTTGGAACAGTTTGACAGATTCTAAAACTATTAAACATACTCCTACACAATGACCCAACAATTCCACTGCTAGTTATTTGCTGAAGGGAAATGAAAACATCTTTTCACCAAAAAACTTGTACAAGAACCACAGCTTTATTCAAACTAGTCCCAAACTAGAATCCGCCCAAATGTCCATAAACAGGAAAATGAATATGTAGATTGTGGTAGGTCCACACAATGGAATATCTTCAACAATAAAAGAACCAAATTTCTGTTCATCTAACATGGATGATGAGCAAAAGAAGTCAGACACAAAGCACGTGTGATGTATTGTTTTCATGTATGCAGTGTAAAAGTGTTAGTTACTCAGTCACGTCCAACTCTGCAAACCCATGGGCTATGGCCCTCCAGGTTCCTCTGTCATAGAATTTCCTAGCCAAGAATACTGAAGTGGGCAGCCATTTCATTCTCCAGGGGATCTTCCCAACCCAGGTCTCCTGCATTACAGGCACATTCTTTACCATCTAAGCTATCAGGGAATATGCAGTCCAATCATGCCTTCATGCTCAGTCATGTCTGACTCTTTGCAACCCTATGGATGATAGCCCACCAGGCTCCTCTGTCAGTGGAATTTTCCAGGCAAGAATACTGGAGTGGGTTCCCGTGCCCTTCTCCAGGGGATCTTCCCCACCCAGGGATTGAACCCACATCTCTTGCATCTCCTACACTGGCGGACAGGTTCTTTACCACTACTGCCACCTGGGAAGGCTGTGTAAAGTCCAATAACAAGTAAAATTAACATATGGTTACAAAAAAGGATAGCACAGTTTCCCTCTGAGCAACTGTCTGGGTACAAGTGGTCAGGATGGAAACTGAGGGTGGAAGGTGTGATGTTCTGTTCTTAATTTTTCAAATAACACATTGGTTTTCCACATGTCTCCCTTGTGATCTCCACTGGGTCTCCAGGGTTCTGCAGGACTCACTGGCTGCTTTCCTGACCTCTTTGAGTGTTTTCCACCTACAATAGTGGTTAGCGATCCTCTGATCACTTTTTGTCTCATAAATTTTGGTATTATCTGCTCATTGCCCCCTGCCATTCTCCTTGTCGTTGTAAATCTAATCCCTTTATTAGCATTTTTAGTGGGAGGTGGTGACAATAATAAAGAGAAGATAAATGATTCTCTTTAATTGGCAGTATTTAACCAGAAACATTTTTTACAGGAAGTTGATGCAATAAAGTGATTATTCCCCGATGCATTTTGAGTACTGAAAAGGACCCAAATACACCAGACAAAGGCGGATATCTTTATGATGGTTTTGATTGTGACATGCTGAAATGGACTTCTTTAGTCCTGTACTTCAGTCTTTCTTAACTTCTACACTTTTCTTCAACTATATCATTGTTTGTTGTTTCAATTGCTTTTATTTCTTTACTGAAGCCACTTATTTTATATACGTTGGTTCTTCACAATCTATCCTTTATATATAAAATGTTACAGCCTCCACAAGCATCTCAGAACCTTGATGACCATTTTCACATGATATTCTTCTTCCTTAGGATGTCCACAGAAACTCAGAACATGGAAGAAAGGCTTGCCTTTGAGACTGTATTCAGGCACTTCAAAAGACATAAAGTGGAGATTTCAACTGCAATTAGAAAGACATTTCCTTTCTTTGAGTGCCTTCGTGACCGCGAACTCATCACCAATAAAATGTATGAAGTAAGTGAGGTTTCTTATGTCACCATCTGGTAAACCAGCCCCAAACTAAGTTATGCTTTGATATCCTGAACACAAAAGTCAGGACACAGCTAGCTAACTGAGGGGCGTCCTATGAATAGAAGACTTTTTAACTATTGTTGCAAATGTTTAAGTGTTGTTGTGAGGTATAAAGGGAGACAGCAGAAACACACATCACTGGAGACAGTCCTTCCTCTAATTGAAAGGATGGTGCTCTTGGTGACCACTGGAGTCAGGCAGGCTGGATCTAAACCAGCTGTGCTCCACAGATGTTTAATACACATAGTACAGCATAAACTAAGAATTAAAAGCAAGTGTAACAAATTCATGAATAATTTAAATGAGATGATCTGGTGAAATAATAATTGACACAGCATTTCTTTTTGAAGAACATCAATTTAAACAGTTGGGCTTCCCTCGTAGTTCAGTGGGTAAAGAACCTGCCTGCAATGCAGGAGACCTGGGTTTGATCCCTGAGTTGGGAGGATCCCCTGGAGAAGGGAAAGGTTACCCACTCCAGTATTCTTGCCTAGAGAATCCCATGGGCAGAGGAGCCTGGCGGGCTATAGTCCATGGGGTCACAAGAGTCGGACATGACTTAGTGACTAAACCAACCAATTTAGATCTGAGAACATTGAAACCCACAGGGAACTGATGTCTTTTTAGGACAAATTTGGGAATAGATGCTTGCTATTCTTTCTCCAACAGGGGTTTTTGTTTTTCCATTTATTTATTTCCTTAATTATGTATTTATTTGTGCTCTTTCTGGAGTCTTGGACTTTGAATTAATTTTAATGATAGGCACTGTTGGAGATACAGAGGTGCACATCTTCAGCTTGTCTTCCAAACATGCTTTCCCTGTGGCCAAGTTCACAAAATGGAGAACTGTCACCTGGCTTCCTTGAGCTCTTCCCACAGGCCAAGTCAGTATTGGTGAAGGGGCAGGGGTTGTCCAGTCAACAGAATAGTTGCTTATCACCTGCCAAGTCTATTCCTCAAAGAGTTGACCAGGCTCTTAGCTACATATTCATTAACTTTGAACCCACTTTTAATCTTCAGAATTGTGCCTTCTTACATCTAATATAAGCTAGGGTGAGGAGATCAGATTCACAAATGGATAGTTTTAAGAAGAGAGGATTTATTGTTTCAGTTAGTAGTCATACAAATATGCAGAAATGCTAAACTTCTACATGAAAAGATATGGAAATTGGAATATATATATGGAATACATATATCATGTATGTATGGAATATGTAATACATATGTATTATGTATGTAATATGTATGGAAATTGGAATACATTAACTTGACATCTCTTTCTAGGGCTCTCTTGTAACTTGGAAGTCTGTATTTATACTTTTCTTCATTCATTGTTTTTAAGGACTGTCAAGATTCTTGTAGAAACCTGGTCCCTGTACCAAAAGTGGTGTACAATGTTCTCAGTGAGCTGGAGAAGACATTTAACAGTTCACTTCTGGAAGCATTGTTCAGCGACGCCAACATGCAGGAATATCCTGATTTAAATCATGTTCGTCAAAGCTTTGAAAAAGGTAATTAGCTTATTTTCCACCTTTTGATGTTCAAGGTCAATTCTGTTCAACAAGGATATATTGAGCTCCCATCACGTGTCATAACTGGTGCTGAGCAGCGGGGCTATAACAGTTAACAAAGCACACTTGAGTCTTCTCAAATCGAACCTAGGTCTTCTACATTTCAGGCAGATTCTTCACCATCTGAGCCACCAAGTTCTTCTCAAAGCTCATGTTATAAAGGCTATGGTACAACACCAACCTGGAGGTCTGCTTAGCTAGACACTTGGACTCCCAGGAGAACCAGAGCCACAGTGCCATCCAATTTAGATAGAAGGACAAATGACAGGTCAGCAGTAGCCTATACAGCAGTCCACTGAGCTGATTACTACCCATCTCAAGCCTAGCTGTGGGTGTAGGATCCACCCTGGCTTAGAAACAACAGATCAACAGGGTCAGTATCTCAACAACTCCAGAATCATAGCTTTCAGGGACCCCTAGAGGAACAAGCCAGATTATAGGAACCACCACAACCCAAGAACGTGGTGATTCAAAGAAGACCCAAAAACAGTCCTTAGGTAGACCCTCCCAGTCACAGGGAGAACCTCAAACCCAGGGTTGACCTGGTAACACAGAAGAAAGGCCACTTTCACATATTTCTAGAGTAATTAGCACAAAAGTTAACTTATATCAAATTTTCCCTTGAAGGGAAAATGGTTTTAATCATATTTTCTCCTCAAATAATCACAAAGGCTTGCTGGGGTCCAGCCCCAGCAGGATCCAGGGGAACCCTCAGGATGAACGGAGTCGGCGAGAGAGAGAGACACGTAGGACCGGCCTTGATAGGGCCAAGTCTGCCAGGGAGAGAGAGAGAGAGAGAAAGAAAGAGACCAGACCAGGAATATGCAGCAGAGTCTGGCAGTTCTTTATTTTTCACCGTAGCCTTTATACCCTAAGTTGGTACATTTCTAAGGGGCAGATAAGCATAAAAACTTAGTTTAACATTACATCAGCTTGTCCTTCACGAAACCAGGTGTGCTGTGTATATTTTTTGTCTATGAGAGTCTTTTCCCATAGATGTTTTGTCCATTATCTTCTGGCCTTGAGGTCAGCAGAAAACAGAAAAGTGGCAGTCTCGTGGTACAGCAAGTCATAGAAACATAATAGAAATACAATCCTGTTAACATAAAAGTCAGTCTTTTTGCAGAAATTCTCAGCTAAATTTATCTAAAAAGTTTAACACACAAAGACTCTGTGGCTCTGGTGAGGCAGCCCCTGTTTAGCACTCCTGGTTAAAACTAACAATTATCTTATTGTTTTTACACTAGGGCTAAACTCTTATTTTACTAGATCTTTAACTATATTAACAATAGTTTCCACTGCACAACCTCAGCACATTAACATCAATCAAACGTTGATCCAATAACCACTTTTAAAACAATATTTTTTGTATTCTCTAATAGGGCTTCCTCACCCCTCAAAGGGCTCTGTGCCTATTAGGGCCTTTTTTATGGTTAATGTCTATGTATAATATCTTTTGACTTTCAGGCCTGTTGACAATTTATGGCTTGCACCTGGTGCAACTTTAAGCAACTTCAGTAGCCGACCCTGTCTTATTTGTGGTTAATCTATTTTCTTTCTATTAGGTGTCATCTCCAAGGGAACTAGATAGGATTACATTTTTTACAGAACAGAAATGCAAAGGATTGCAAAAACAGCAGATATGGCACAAAACAGGCTCTTAGTCTAAAAGTTAATTACCTGCAAGAAGTCACCAGCTAATCTCTATCTAAACTATTTTCTATTAGGCACGTTTGTGGCTATAATATTTGTGGAGCTTTTCTCACCCCGCGAAGGGGCCTATGCTTAATAGTTTCTTTTGTTAGCATACTGTGCTTAGGATGTTTAGAACAATCATGAGCATTTTGTGCAATGAGAGCACACATTTATCAAACAAGCCAGAATGCCAGCTAAAGGTTTGAATGGAAGCATTTCCTTCATCCCTGGCCCCTTCATAGGGTACCAGCGTCCAAGAGATTTATTAATTAGCTTTTAAGTTGGTCTTTATTCAGTGAAAGAGGAGCAGGAGAGCTCTCGGCAGGCAACACAAGAATCCGCAGCAGGGCAAATAAGAGCAACAGCAGGAAAGGGGGGAGGATATAGGGTGGGGTAGAGGCCGAGGCCAACCTGGAGGGTCCCTCATCCTAGACGGCCTTGCCTGTCAGGTATTTTCCTCGTGACCTCGTCATGGATGGGGTCCCGGACGGCCTTGCCTACCCGATATTTTCTTCATGACCTCGTCACGGGCGGGACCTCCCATAATGGCTCCCGACAAAGGCTATTCTCTTCCAGGGGTTATTTTTGGTGCCACGTATAACTAAATGTTGACTTTTTGCTGAGAAGTTATAATTTATCCTTTTTAAATGCTGGTGACTCATATCTACACTTGCTGCCAACCCCCTGCCCCTGGCAGAGGTCACTGCTGTCCGCAAGAGCTTGGGTCAGTGACTAAACTCCAGAGGATGGGGACAGTGGTCCAGGGCATGATATCTCTCCTGTTTCTAGGTTCCCCCCTCATCCCTGTCTCATGTGCTGAAGTCCCCCCGCCCTTAGGCCTCCTTCACCTTTTCTGGGCTTTGGGCCACTGTCCTCCTCATACCAGCCATCTGATTTTGCTGGAACTTGACCCATGCTCTGGGGAAGACAAAGGAGTACCCATGGCTCCCACAGTCCTGTCCATCTCACCCCCTAATGGGCATTTTCCCAGGAGGTGCTCCTGCCATCAGCTCTGAGGCAGCCTGCCACCATGTCTCCTTCCTAGACTCCTGGCAGTGATCTACCTACTAGGTTCCTTGGTTTATTTCCTTCCTCCTGCATCTGCTAAGTTACCTACATGCAGGGTCTCTGGGCTGGTGTCCTGGCCTCCTCTTGCTGGCAGCCTCTTGGGTCTGTGGTCCAGGAGTCGTGGGGATGCCCTGCAGTGCCACAATAGGCAATCCCTGCATGCAGCTTCAGAGTGTCCTTTTTTGTGGGATCTGGACCACTCTGGGAGCTCCAACTAGCAACTCCAGCATGCCCCCACCCCCACCCACTCTGGTTTGTGTCTTTGGAAACTGAGCATCCTCCCCAACACAATTAAGCCTAAACCTCCTCTTATCTAGAGCCCTCTTTAAAGCCTTTGGGCTTTCTCTTTTACAAACACACACACACACACACACACACATCTCCAGGATCCTAGTTGTGCTCCAGGAGAAATTTGTTTCTTTCTTACATTTTGAACAGTGCAGTTAACACATTTCATCTCCCTTATTTATTTTGACATGTATTGTCCGCATGGTGTGACGTTTATTGTACATGACTGACAGCCTCAGGATGTTCCCAGGACTCCTTTGTCCTTATATTTGAGTGGCTCATTTCTGTGCAGGGAACATAACTGCTCCCTTGCTGGGGGTTTCTCTTTTCTGTCCAAGGATGATGGGGGGAGCTTTCCCATGAAGGTTGGGATCCACTGAGCTCTGAGTGACCCGAGAGCTGAAAATACCTAAACGTGCAATTCTGAGATGATGTTCCTGGTCTCTGGTGGAGATCTCTAATTGTGTTTTCTCTCCCTCTCTTCAGCAATCCAAGAAAAACTTAGTTATGAAGAGATCGATGGAGAAGAGAGGGAGGAGAGGCCTGCCATCCAACTGAGCCTTGAGCAAGGTGATTGAGATCAAGAAGAAACCAACTCTCCCTTGCTAAGAGGAAAAGGAGAAGGGGAGGTGGAGGCCTGAGTCCTGACAAAAGATTGAGAATCAGGGAAGAAACAATGAAGGACCACAGAGAAGGCAGGCAGGGATGTTTATATGAGCATCTAACCAGAGGCTAAGTCCTCGAGGAGTGGCTATGACAAGAGGCCGTTGCCCCAAATATCAAGTCAAAGGAGGAGGAACCCAGGTGTCAGTAACCAGATTTAAAGAGAATGACTGCCGGGAAGTCATTGTGATTTAGAAAGAATCCTATAGGAGAAGATCAATGTGAAGGTGTGATGGGCTAATCATTATGGGCCCAAGGTCAATGTCAAAGTGGAGGCCGTTGATGATGGCAGAAGAAAGGACTGATTTAAATGTGGGGGAGGTTGTTCAAGAGCAGGAATATTCAAGGAGAAAGGTGGTCATAGGGATTCAGTGATGAGGAATGGTAGAGATGCGGAGGAGATGTGGGTATTTAAGAGAGGGGGAGAAGAAAAAGAAGAAATGAAAGGCGAAAGGGGTCAAGGACACAACAAAAACAAGCAAGTTAATAACAGCTCATTTGATTGAATGGTTCTTCTGGCAGTTGTGGGTGTAGTGCCATTGGACGGTATTATCACTTATGTGCCCATTTTGCAGATAAGAAAGCTGAAATCTAGAGAGACCATGTATGTAGTTGGCCTGGGACCAAATGAGCAAGGATGGAACCAGGCATTCTGAACCCAGAGCCTGTGTTTTCAACCCTGGATACTCCCTGGTAGCCTAATGGGACAGACAGAACCCTGAAACAAAAGGAGGGAAATATACAAAGAGGGAAGTGAAGTGAAAGTCACTCAGTCATGTCCGACTCTTTGTGACTCCATAGACAGTAGCCCACCAGGCTCCTCTGTCCGTGGGATTTCCCAAGCAAGAATACTGGAGTGGTTGCCATTCTGGAGAAAGTGGAGGAGAATCAGACATTGAAACCTCAGGGAGAGGCTAACAAGACAGATTAAACAGAGCTGTACAGGGAGGGAGTGGATGAAGAGGGGGTGCGGACTTTGCAGGAAGTAAGGTAAAGTCACCAGTCAGGGCCCCTCTAGGGACCAAAGCCGGTTCACCACGGCTTGGGAGTCAAGATAAGCCATCGCTAGGTACTGAATGGCTGGTGGAGATCACGCAGTGAGAAGGTCTGGCCAAAGCCCTCTCAGCCAAGAGTGCCCCTGACCTGCCTTCCACTCAAGGATTTGGGATCTGGCTGCAAGATTTGGATGAGATCCACCAGGCCCAGATGGTCTCTGTATTGTTGTCTACTGGGGGTCTCAAGCTTCTTATTTATTTAAAAAAAGAAAGAAAGAAAGAAAAGAAAAGAAAAAGGGAATTAGGGGAGGGTGGCACAGCCCCTACTTCAATTTCTGAAATAAATTTTTAATTTTTCCCCCTAGGAACTTCTGGAGGCCTGACTTGGTCTGGGGGAGAATCCTCATCTTATGACGGTCTGTGGCTGGTTCTGTTCTGTGATGCTTTGCCGCTTATGCCCCCTTCTAGGCTGTGCTGGGGGTGGAGCGGCTGCTTCTTTGTTTCAGAAATTTGTCAGTCCTTGCATCTGCAGTTTCTCCAAGGGTCAGTACTCTGAGTTGCTGGGAAGGTCGCTGCTTCCGGGCTCCTTAAATGCACTTGCTGCCAGTTCCCAAAGACTCTGGGCCTGTTTGTTTTGCCCCAGCAGCTGACTTCACCGTTTTCTGTTCTGTTTCATTTGATCAGGCAGTGACCTTGGGGCTTCGATGTCATGTCTGGCAGAGGCCAGTGCTACAACCAGAGTGGTGGAAGAAGCAGGTGATGGGCATTCCTCGGGGCAGGGGGCGATGGGGGGGAGTCCTCCCATAACTTCAATTAACCCCTAACATTCTTAATGATGTTATTATTTAAATTTTATTGCTCAGCTTTCTCATTTGTAATATAGGGATATTACAGGTAGATTGTCATGAGGCTATGAAATGGAACAAGGATAGGAATGCATTTAACAGTCATTAGGTATTCACTGGGCTTCCCTGGTGGCTTAGCAGCACTGTTTACAATAGCTAGGACGTGGAAACGACCTAGATGTCCATCGGCACACAAATGGATAAGGAAGTTGTGGTACAAATACACAATGAAATATTGCTCAGCTACAAAAAAACACGTTTGAGTCAGTTTCAATGAGTTGAATATAACTGGAGCCTATTATACAGAGTGAAGTAAGCCAGAAAGAGAAACACCAATACGGTATATTAACGCATATATATGGGATTTAGAAAGAGGGTAATGACGACCAACATGCAAAACAACAAAAGAGACACAGATGTAAAGAACAGACTTCTGGACTATGGGGGAGAAGGCAAGGGTGGGACGTATGAGAGAATAGCATTGAAACATGTATATTACCATATGTAAAATGAATGACCAGTGCAAGTTCGATGGTGAAGCAGGGCACTCAAAGCTGGTGGTCTAAGACAACCCAGGGGATGGGGTGGGGAGGAAGGTGGGAGGGGTTTCAGGATGGTGGGACACATGTATACCCTTGGTTGATTCATGTCGATGTATGGCAAAAACCATCACAATATTGTAAAGTAATTAGCCTCCAATTAAAGTCAATAAATTAAAATTTTTAAAAAGGAATCTGCCTGCAATGCTGGAGACCCAGGTTCAGTCCCTGGGTCAGGAAGATCCTCTGGAGAAGGGAATGACTACCCACTCCAGTATTCTTGCCTGGTAAATCCCATGGACAGAGGAACCTGGCAGGCTATAGTCCATTGGGTTGCAAAAGAGTAGGACACACCTTAGCAACTAAACAACAAGGTATTCAGTACATGTTTGTTCCCTGAATAAAAAGTACTAGTACAAAAAATATACTGTTAATTGAAAACATTGATCATAACGATTTGATTTTTTAATGATGGTATCCCATATATTGATGCAGCCAGTAGTTTACTTAATCTGCCCCCAAACCTGAAAATGTGTATATATTACCCCTGTTTTTCAGACGAAAAAGAATCAGCTTAGAGAATTCGATTATTTGTCCAAGTTCACCCAACTGAAAATCAGGATTGAGCGCTGCTGTGCGCAGTGTCACAGCAGGAATTCAGGGGCCCATAGCCTGGCTTCAGCTCTACCTCAAGATCTTGGGGTAGTGACTAGCCCTCTTCGCTCCTCAGTTTCATCATCTGTAAAATGGACATGATAATAGCACCTATTTCAGTGGGTGATGGATTTTAAACAAGTTACATCATATAAAGCATTCACAGTCGTGTCTGGAGTTGTATCGGTGTTCCATGCATTTGTTGTTATTACTACCTTTAATCATCATCTTTATTTGTCTCTGGTGCCAGAGTCCAAACTTTTAACTGTTACATTCGTAGTACACTTCAAGATTTTTTTCTCTCACAGGTGTTCATTGGATTTACTGATTCCCCAGGCTGGGAAAGTAGTGAGAAAAGCAATGCCACCTTCTGGCCCAGGAAGATAAATTGAAAGTCGTAGTTTTCCCTGCTTACAACATACTAGACTATAGCAAATTTTAAGTCTTTATTCCATGACTCACCTTAGTAAATAAGAAACAGAGAGGAGTCTCGGGGAACTACCTACATGAAAGGCTCTTACTATGTAGCTTCCCTTAGGGATGTATTATTTTAAAAAGAGTGTTCTAAATTAGTTATATGCTTTTATAAAAGAAATTTCAAAGTGATTTTTGAAAGCACAATAATACTTTTTTGCTACTTTAGTTTTTTTTTTAATTGAAGGATATTTGCTTTACAAAATTTTGTGGTTTTCTGTCAAAGATCAACAAGAATCAGCCATAGGTACACCCATGTCCCCTCCCTCCTAAACCTCCCTCTCATCTCCCTCCCCAACCCACTCTTCTAGATTGTCACAGAGCCAGCCCATTTTAGTTCCCTGAGCCATACAGCAAATTCCCATTGGCTGTCTATTTGATATACGGTATTGTAAGTTTCCATTTTACTCTCTCCTTATATCTCATCCTTTCCCTCCTCCCCACTCCATGTCCATATGTCTGTTTCTCCCTTGCTGCCCTGAAAATTAATTGATCAGTACAATCTTTCTAGATTCCATATATATGCATTAGACTATGATAGTTATCTTTCTCTTTCTGACTTACTTCACTCTGTATAATAGGCTCTAGGCTCATCCACCTCATTAGAACTGACACAAATGCATTCCTTTTTATGGCTGAGTAATATTCCATTGTAAATATGTACCACAGCTTCTTTATCCATTCATCTGTAGATGGACATCTAAGATGCTACCATGTTCTAGCTATTATAAATAATGACACAAAGAACTTTGGGATACATGTGTCTTTTTCAATTTTGGTTTCCTCAGGGTATATGCCTAGGAGTGGGACTGCTGGGTCATATGATGGCTTCATTTCTAGCTTTTTCAGGAATCTCCATACCATCTCCCATAGTGGCTGTATCAATTTACATTCCCACCAGCAATGCAGGAGGGTTCCCTTTTCTCCACATCCTCTCCAGCATTTATTGTTTGTACACTTTTTGATGATGGCCATTCTGACTGGTGTGAGGTGGTATCTGATTGTAGCTTCAATTTGCATTTTTCTAATAATGAACAATGTTGATCATATTTTCATATGTTTGTTAACCATTTGTATGTCTCCTTTGAAAAAATGTCTGTTTAGGTCTTATTCCCACTTTTTGATTTTTTTTTTTTTTCCTGGTATTGAGTTGTATGACCTGCTTGTATATTTTGGAAATTAATTCTCTGTCAGTTGTTTCCTTTGCTATTATTTTCTCCCATTCTTGTTTACAGTTTCCTTTGCTGAAAAACACAGCAATACTTTTAACAAATCACATTTATTCAAAAAGTTAACAGTTGAAAATACATATGGATGAATACATATTAGCATGCATCTGCTAGTACAGCTGATGGAAACTGGAAAGGATTAGCGGATGGAATTGTGACAAGTAATGAGCAGCAGAGAAAGGATTCAGAGAGTGTGTGTGAGTGTGTGTGTGTGCGCGCGCATGTGTGAGTGTAGGGTGTGGCAGGAGGAGGCAATGAAGTTCTCTGAAATTCACAGTGTGGGTCTGGGGACAACCTTGCCAGGAAATGAAATCCCAGAGCATCTTGATGGTGGGGAGTAAGGAATATAAAGAGAGAAACTTCAGCCTAGGACCCAAATGATACACAGCAGTAAATGTGTCTGAGCATCTGACCCGACAAGGTGGGCTGACGTGCGCAGGTGAGAGGAGCGCTGTGTCTCACTCCCACCCCCCACCCCAAGGGGAGGCTCCCAATCCTGAGGATGTGGCACAAAACAGGCACCAGGACCCACATTTCATACTAAAACTTTGGGAAATAATTTTAAATCATGCTTCATGTAAATTACTTTGTTCAGAAAAATAACACTAAGAGAGAAAAATCCAAACTGCAGTGAAAAGTATGTCTATGTGTTCATACATTGTTAAGGCTGGAGGGAACAGAGTGGGAGGGATTGATGGAATCAGTGAGGACCAGAGATGGTTGCCAAGGAGAAAGGGCATGTGTGCTGGTCCTGGGTGGTTTGCCCAGGGACTCAGTCCTTCCCCTCCCCTGCTCTGCTCGGCCCTCTGTCTCTGGCCACTGGCCCCCACGGACTTGTCTGTCAGCTCCCCTTGCTGCTGACTCCCTGCTGGGTTCCAAACATGGAGATCCTGGCAGGAGAGTGGGAGTAAGGGGGGAGCCAGGTGTTTCTCCATCACCGCCTCCGGCCGCAATTCTGGCAGCAGCCGCATCTCAGCCTTGACTGCACCTTCCACGAAGCAGGCAAATCGTGGTCCAGCCTCTGCCCGCCCAGTGACCTCAGCCCATGATGTCATCCCCTATCCCCCCCGCGGCTTCCTGTTGACTCCTCTTTATGTCCTCACATTCTTCCACTTGGTCTTCTCCGCTCTTCCATCAGCTGTGCAACCAATCCCTGGATTAAATTCCCTCTGCTTTAAAAGCTTAGAGTGCTTTGTATTTTCCTGTTGGATTCTGCTGGATATTGGAGGAAAATAAAATATTTATAAATCAAACTGTGGTTTAGGTACAGCCTCCCCTGAAAATAGACTCTCAGATCACCTCAGTGAAAGAGAAGAGATAAATGCAAAGAGGAACGATACACCCAGCAACCAGAACGATGCACTGGAAAGTCAACAAGCAAATGAACAATGTGACCAAGAATCTGAATCATCAGGTAAGGCTGGCTGGCTTTGCCTGGGGAGCAGAGAGGCTCACCACGGGGGAAGGGTATGTCCAGAACATGCTAGTCCTGGGTGGTTTGCCCAGGGATTCAGTCCTTACCCTCTTGAAGGGGTCAAGAGGTCCTGACTGGTGACAGAGAATGAATTCATGTACCACTCAAGGAAACATCTATTAACAAAGAAAGGGGAAATTACATAGTCACTGAGGGCAGGAACAGAGCCTGATATGTTGATGGGAAAGACCTGGAGGAAGAAAGTGAGAGAAGAAAAACTAAGAAGGTGAAGTGACCCAGACCCACAGGGGAAGAGAAACAGAAACAAGAGTCAGTGAGAGGTTGGCCCCAGAATCAATGAAGTGCAGCAATTTCATGGGGTGAAGGTGGCAATAAATGCAGACAGGCTCAAAGTAGACACATAAGAAGGAAAGAGAAGTTGGGGAAGATGCAAGAAAATGGAAATAGGACAAAGCAAAACTCTGTTGGATGTCAGCTGTGGTCTTTTTTATCTTCAGAGTTCTGTGAAGCAGCACCTATCCAATCAAATAATGCAGATGCTGGGGAGGAGACACCCAACCCATTGCCTTCTAACAAAGAAAGTAATTATTACTTACCTTACCTATTTTCTTTCTTTTTTTAACTTTCATTTTATCCCTTTTTTTTTTTAATGGCCATGTTACATGCTTGTGAGATCTTAGTTTCCTGGACAGGGATTGAGCCCATGTCCCCTGCATTGGAAATGCAATCTTAACCATTGAACTGCCAGGGAAGTGTCATATCTTACCAATTTTCTAATTACATCTTTGTTTTTCTAAGAGCCTAAAAGTTTTCCTTTGCATGGCCAAAAAAAAAAAAAAAATCTGTTGGACATCTCAATTTAGAGGCTGTATCTATAACTATCTATTGCTATATAAGTAACTAACAGTCACAAAACTGAGCAGATTAAACCAATCATGGTTTTACTTCTCACTTCCATCAATTCTAACTTTAAAATATTTCCAGCTTGTCCAATTGTTCTCTATTCTTTGCCATGCCCGTGCTAAGTTGCTTCAGTCATATCTGACTCTGTGCTACCCCCATGGACTGTAGCCCGCCAGACTTCTCTGTCCCTGGGATTTCCCAGGCAAGAATGCTGGAGTGGGTGGCCATGCCCTCCCCCAGGGGATCTTCCTGATGCAGGGATTGAACCAGTGTCTTTTACAAGTCTCCTGCATTGGCAGGTGAGTTCTTTACCACTAGGCTTGCTGTAATCCACATCCTGTCACTTCTCACGTCAAATAGAAGAACAGTCTCCTGCTCATTTCTTCCCTCCTGTCTCACTTCCTTCAGGTTCACTGTCTGCATTTTAGCTCAGTAGACCTTTCCAAAATGCAGACCAGTTCATATGGTTTTCCTGTTTAAAGCCCAATACCATCCCTGGATTGGGAAGATCCCCTAGGGGAAGGCATGGCAACCCACCCCAGTATTCTTGCCTGGGAAATCCCATGGACAGAGGATCCTGGCGGGCTACAGTCCATGGGATTACAAAGAGTCAGACAAGACTTAGCGCTGACGCATGCACCTTCTTGTGGCCCTCGGCATGAAATCAAAGCTGCAGGTATGGAGTACTGACACATACCTACCAGCTGTGTATTTCCCCATCATACTACATTCCCATCACACCAAACTCCTTTTAGTTACTTAAATTTGACAAGTTCTCTCAACCATCCCTGCCTTTTCATATGCTTTTGGAAAACAGTTTTGTATAATCTTCCAAAGTAGAAAATACAGGTAGCTTATGACTTAGCAATTACACTCTTCAACAAGTCAACAGAAATGTATATTATCACAACACACAAAAGAATGTTTATCATAGCATTATTTGTCGTAGTCTAAAACTTGAGCCAGTACAAATGGAGACTTTTTAGTTTTATTTTTTAATGGATAATTTCTGCAATGGAATGTTATACAACAGTGAGAAAATATGTTTAACTGGATACAGATGACTATTGCACACATAATGTTGATAAAAGAAGCTAAATCCTTATCTGCCCTGCCCCCGAAAGAATAGACAGAACAAGAGTGAATGATTCCACTTAAGAGTGTTAGTCACTCAGTCATGTCGGACTCTTTGCAACCACCTGGACTGTAGTCCACCAGGTTCCTCTCTCCAAGGGATTTCCCAGGCAAAAATACTGGCGTTGGCTGTTATTCCCTTCTCCAGGGGACCTTCCTGACCCAGGGATCGAACCCAGACTCCTGCATTGCAGGCAGATTCTTTACCCTCTGAGCCACTAGGAGAGCTCTGATTCCACTTAGAGTTGAGAAAGGCATGAAGGAAGGGACAGAGTTGAGCAGAAAAAAGGAGAAGGGTGGGGTGGAACCTCTCTCTGCAGTAAGATTACAGGAAGAAGACCTCCCTGGTGGCTCAGAGGTTAAAGCGTCTGCCCGAAATGCAGGAGTCCCAGGTTTGATCCCTGGGTCGGGAAGATCCCCTGGAGAAGGAAATGGCAACCCACTCCAGTATTCTTGTCTGGAGAATCCCATGGAGGGAAGAGCCTGGTAGGCTACAGTCCACGGGATCGCAAAGAGTCGGACACGACTGAGCTACTTCACTTTCAATGCTAGTGAGCTTCTTTTTGGGGAGACAAATTAAAATTTTTCATTTGTTAAAATTTGATCCAGGAGCAAAGCCATTCAACCATGGACTACAAATCAATTCCTGTTCTGTCCGTCTAGTGGATATAAAGAAAGAAAAGCCATTTTTTAACTCAGAAGTTCAACTGCAAGCCCAAGCAAGGACTGACTATAACCAGGTGTCTGACATAATAGGTAAGGCTGACAGAGAGGAAATGGAGCGGGGATCATGGGAATCAGGCAAGAGGCTGGGGCATCAGGGGCCAGCCAGCCAGTCCAGGTGGCCTTGGGCAGAGGAAGGAAGGGCAGGGAACCAGCACCTTGTGCTGTGAGTTCAGCGGAAGAGGTTCCCCAGGGACCAGAAAAATATCAGAAGACAGATGATGGGTAATAAATATTGATGCCCAGGAGACTATTTCCAAAGTAAGAGAGGAAAGTATGAGAAAGAAAGAAAAGGGGGGAAAAAATAGAGAGCCAAGATATTCAAGAGAGTAGATGGAAAAGAAACACATAAAGACAAAGCGAGGTATCGAGAGATACCGTTCCTGGAAAGAGAGGCATAAGTAAGGAGAAGGGGCCAAGAGGAAAGTGAAGAAGTAAAATGAGAGTGAAAGAAAGAGGTAGAATGGAGTAGAGGGTCAGAGGTAGGTCTAGGGTGGGGGTGAGGGGTAGCAGGAGGGTGGGGGAGGGGAGTGTGGCAGGATGGGCAGGGCCGCCCTCTGTGTGTGAGCGTCGTCACCTTTCATGCGGGACCGGGAGCAACCTGCAGCTCACCCACATTCAAGCACAGACCACGTGCCTTGAAGTAACTTAGCTTCTAGCTCTCCCCGCTGCTCTCATTCTGGGGTTTCCTGCTGCGTGGGCTCCACCCTGAGATCCTAAGGGGAGTTGTTCTTTTGTGCAGTGATCAGCAGTGAGGACTCTGCAGAATCCAGTGATGGAGATGAGTTCTCAGAACCCTCCACGTCAACACCAGGAAGGATAACTGGTAAGGAAGGGGGAGAGCAAGGCCAGGGCTGCAGGAATCTGCACGAGAGCTACTGTTTCTGGAGCATCTTACTCGGAGTCCCTTCTGAACCATGGATCCAGTTTTTCTTGGAATCGTATCCTCTGAATTTTACTGTTATGGGAAATGCAGGATGATATGAAATCTCTATCTGAGGATGAGGTCTATTATCTGATGGTTGTTGCTGTTTAGTTGCTCAGTCGTATCCAACACTTTTGCGATTCCAAGGACTTTAGTCCATCAGGCTCTTCTGTCCACGGGATTTCCCAGGCAAGAATACTGGAATGGGTTGCTATTTCCTTCTCCACTGTTAACTGATGGGTCCCATTAATTAATACATGTTCTCTATTTTATTATATAATAGATTAACAAAGTAATGAGTGTGTTTAAAACTACTATCTGCCATGTCTATAAAATGTTAGATTTTTTTTCAATAATTTTATTTATTTGCTTATTATTCCTGGGTGTGCTGAGTCTTCATTGCTGCCTTGGCTTATCTCTAGTTCTAGTGATGGTCCTTGGGCTTCTCTCATTGCAGTGGCTTCTCTTGTTGGGGAGCACAGGCTCTAGGATGTGTGGGCTTCAGTAATTGTGGCACATGGGCTCAGCAACTGTGGCACGTGGGCTCAGTTCCTCTGCCGCATTTGGGATCTTTCTGGATCAGGGATTGAACCTGAGTCTCCTGCTTGGCAGATGGATTCTTTACCACTGAGCCACCAGGGAAGCCCCAAAATGTTGGATTTATATGGTGACTTCTACCAAGAACAGAAAGTTAAATATGGTTGGCAATGCATGGGTTAAGCGCACCAACTCTCAGCACAATCGAAAATCTGCTTATAACTTATAGTCAGCCTCCATATACACAGGTCCACACCCATGCATTGTTGTTCAGATACCCCGTCATGTCTGACTCTTTGCCACCCCATGGACTGCAGCACACCAGGCTTCCCTGTCCATCACCAACTCCCAGAGCTTGCTCAAACTCATGTGCATCGAGTCAGTGGTGATTCCGTCCAAACATCTCATCCTCTGTCGGCCCCTTCTCCTCCTGTCTTCAATCTTTCCCAACATCAGGGTCTTTTCTAATGAGTCGGCTCTTCACATCAGGTGGCCAAAGTATTCAAGTTTCAGTTTCTGCATCCATGAATTCCACCAGCAGTGGATTGTCTAGTGATGTAGTGTTTTCTACGGGAAAAAAAAAAAATCTGAGTCTCATCTGGACCTTTGTAGCTCAAATCCATATTGTTCAAGTGTGAACTATATTCCTTTATTGGAAAGTCATATTATTATCTGGAGAAGGAAATGGCAACCCACTCCAGTATTCTTGCCTTGAAAATCCCATGGGCAGAGGAACCTGGTAGTCCACGGGGTCGCAAAGTGTCGGACACGACTGAGTGACTTCACTTTCACTTTCATATTATTATCTGATCACAAACTTGAATCGTGTCACAAGATAACTCATCCAGCTACCTACTGTTACCAGAAATAAAGACTTCAGATAAGGTATTCTGAAACCCAAAGTGTTTTTGACAATTCTTCAGCAAGTCATGGCATATAGAGTGATATTTCAAAGGACTTTTGCAAACAATCTTACAACCTTAAAGGGTAAGCAGGATGGACATTGCTATCGTTGTTTCTAGATGAGAAAACACAATCACATAAATGTTTCAAGGTCTCTAATAAGTCTCATGAGAGATGAAAGGCAATAACAAAGCTGGCATTCTGGATTCTGCATTATTTCCTTTGTAAAACTGGAGCTCAAAATTATCTAAATGTTGTTTCCTCAGTCTTGACGGCAGCCAGAGTGGCCATAAGATCTGTATTTTTGTAGTGTACAAATTGGTGATTTTTTTTCTCCCTTTCTACTTTCTAGACCCAGACAATATTAGAAACATACCTATTTATAGAAACACACCAGGAAAAGTCTTAAAAAGAAGCAAAAATATTCCTTGATCTTGATGCTACAAAAGAGTAACATTTTAAATAAAACATTCAATCTACTTACTCACTAGATTTATCAAGTATATGTTAGTTGCTCAGTTGTGTCCAACTCTGTGTGACTCCATGGACTGTAGCATGCCAGGCTCCTCTGTTCATGGAATTCTCTAGGCAAGAATCCTGGAGTGGGTTGCCATTCCCTTCTGCAGGGAATCTTCCCAACCTAGGGATCGAACCTGTGTCTCCCACATTGCAGGCAGAGTCTTCACCATCTGAGCCACCAGCGAATCCCCAAGTGAAATATAAATTTGCTTCAGTTTTTGGGAAGCCCACCTTCTACTTTCATCTTAGTTGAGTAGGTAAAAGGCTCTAAAAGGTAGTTCCCAAACATATCTATGGTTCAGACACATGAGAAGATTATTTTCCAGGCTTGCAAATAGTTCAAGGGCACCAGGTTGACAGGGGGTGGGAGGAGGTGGGAAGAGGAGACTCAGTCTTGAACAGGTTTCCAAGGTACCCTACGTGAGAAACACCAGATGAATGACATGTGAAAAAGACAATAGAAGGGGTCAGAAGTAGCAGACAGAGAAGGGTAGGATGGTTAAGTTTCAAGTAGAGCAAAGTCTCCCCTTGCATTTGAATTGTCTCCGTTCTGGAGATAGGGGATGGAGCATCACTAACCTAAATGGCAGGTGACTTAGATGTACAGACCACACTTTCCTTGGCTTTTCAAGACTTTCTGAGTTTTCTTATTAGGGAATTTCCTGCTCAGTGGGTTCCTTGGTCACACCCCCAGGCCCCTCAAGAAGTTCCTTTGTGCAGAGGCCAATAACCTTGAGTCTTTAGGATCAAGTGAGAGAGGAGAGACCCAAGAAGCCACCATCTCTCCATGCCAGATGGCTCAAGTAGGAAGATCAGGATTGCAGCCCTGGACCACAAATATCCGGAGTCTAAATCCAGAGTTCTGTTTTCCTGATGAATCTTATTCTGATCATTCTCCATATGCCTTGATTTAATTACTTCTAGGATATCACTTTCCACATATAACTTCTCTGGCCATGTTGAGAAATGGAAAGAAGCAAAAAGATATTATATAAAAACTGTTGTTTAACTGGGCAAGCCCAATCAGTTGCTATATTGAAAATGTAGTAAAAATATGCTAGTAAAATATTTTTAGTACACACTATCACAGCTATTAATGCTAAAGAGTGGAAATAGTGTACCTATTCTCCAGCATGCTTTTATTCTATAGAGCGTACTAAGCATGGTATTCCTCTATTCATTGTTAATATTATCTTTAGTCCCCAACTTAGAAAGTCTTCACAGAGTAATTTGTGCTTCTGTTATATTATTGATGGAAAAATGGCTTCAGACCAAGTACTCTCAAACCCTAATTACAGTTGAACCATTGGCTAACAGTGATTTCCCATAGGGTTTTCGTAAATAAAGTTTCATTTTGTTATTACAAAAACCTTAACAGGCAGTGAGGGTAACCAAGTTCTCCCAGGTTTATAGATGAGGAAACTGGAACTGGTAATGTTTGAGGGTCTTTTGATATTTCCAGGTTTGAGGGTCTTTTGGTCTTCCCAGTTCACACTGGTAAAGTGCCAGTTGGCACAGTGGTGAAGAACCCAGGTGCTAAGGGGAGATGTGAAAGACTCAGGTTCAATTGCTGGGTCAGGAAAGATCTCCTGGAGGAGGGCATGGGAACCCACTCCAGCATTCTTGCCTGGAGAATTCCATGGACAGAGGAGCCTTGTGGGCCAGGGTCCACAGGGTCACATAGAGTCAGACAAGACTGAAGTGACTTAGCAAGCACACATGCATGCACTCCACGAGTATCTTTTATGAATTCACATGGAGAGTGCAAGGCAGTACTGGGTAGGACTCCAACATGACATACCTGCAACATGGCATTGGCCTATAGTCATATTCAAAAATATCTTCAAAAATAAAGTATCCTTTTATGTTCATAACAGCCTAAAATGTCAGTCAGAAGACTGTTGTTCCCTCATTTCACAGAAGAGAAAACTCCAGCACATAAACACTTAAGGGTCTTTTACACAGCCTATTGATAAAAGTGAAAGTGTTAAGTCGCTCAGTCATGCCCAACCCTATGAACCCAAGGACTGTAGCCCACCAGGCTCCTTACTCCATGAGATTCTCCAGGCAAGAATACTGGAGTGGGTGGCCATTCCCTTCTCCAGGGGATCTTCCCGACCTAGAGATCAAACCCAGGTGTACCACATTGCAGGCAGATTCTTTATCGTCCTGAGCTGCCAGGGAAGCCCCAAGAATACCGGAGTGGGTAGCCGTTCACTTCCCCAGGGGATCTTCTCAACCCAGGGATTGAATCCATATCTCCTCCTTGGCAGGTGGATTCTTTACCATCTGAGCCACCAGGGAAGCCCATTACACATCATATATGGAAACTTACAGAAACTTACCAGAAGAGACAGAACTAACAATCTGGACTCTTAGGAAACATTTGTAATCCTTTATTCAAAATCTTTAACACAACGTTATAAAGCAACTATACTCCAATAAAAATTGATAAAAATTTTAAATCCAGATGTAAAATAATAATGCTTTATTATTTTAGAAAGGCAGTGTGGTATATATCTCATAGATTTACAAGACAACCCAATAAGTTTGGGACTGAATCTCATTCTCAAATAGACTGTGTTAGTGTTGCTTCAGCAAATTGTGTGAATTCACATCAACTGTGATAAATATTTTATTGAACTCATGGCTGCCGAAGTCCAGGTTTGTTACCAAATTAGTTAGCTGCAATCCTATGAAAAAATACTGGTTTTCAACTTCTTTGACTTTGCAACTAAGGCTGAAGGATTGGGGATCTTCACTCCATTTGGTAGTGATCTCTTTCCCTTAGATGAGAAGAGACAGTAATGTTCATCATTGCATCTTTATAGCCTACATCCTGTCTGTAATGTGAGTATTCATAAGCTCATAACTCTTTTTGATATAGATTATTGGTTTTATTTTCCTTTACTTACTAGATCCGTCAGCCACTGGAAGCATGTCTATTTTCAGAATGAACAGTAGGAAGAGACGTAAGAACAATTAAAACTCTTGCTGTTACAAATATCTTTCTTTGCTACAAAACCCTCCTTAAACTTTTTGGTTATATCATTGAAAATGAAGCTACAAATTTGTAAGTATTTTAGATGATTCACATTTATTTTGAATTAGGTGAGCTGGGCTAACTGATGTAACACATAAACCTCAAGAAGTTGAGTGTCACAGCGCAGTACAAGTTTATTCTTCATTCACATCAAAGGATAAAGCAGTTCCCAGGTTGGAGGGGTGCCCATTGAGGGCCCAGCTGATGGAGGCTCTGATGTTGAAATTGTTGCTTCCAGGGTCTCTCTGGATAAGAAACAGAGTGAAAGCAGGAATATTAATATGTACCGACAAGAGGAAAGGGTAAAAGCTAGTAACCAAAGGGAGTGCCTTCCATAGCAAAGTTGTGCCCACTTCCAGCCTTGGGGGTGGTTCCTGGAACAACCTTGACCCCCAGGTCAGATGGAGCCACAGGGTGACCTGGTGGGAGAATTATCCTTAACCCTCTTACACAAGCTTCCCTTTTCCAAATTTCCTGTTAAAGAATTCCATGCTGTATTGGTCCTAGGTCACAGACTGAGATTGTAAAGGACTTTTATTTCTTTCTGCAGGGATGAGAAGTGGTGACTCTACAGACTCGAGTAATGAAGGAGAACCTCAGGCAACATCTAGTTCAGCCCTAAGAAATGGGTCAGGTAAAGAAGATTAGGATGTCCAGCCTTGGCCTGCAGCATGTCAGGAGTCTGAATTTAAAGCTACTTCCAGATGCATTTCATTCTGAGCTCCCTGTCTACCTTGTATCCAGTTAAACCTGAGAACTACTTCTGGGATTTTTAGAAAATGAAAGGAGGCAGGAAATTATTATAAATTCACGCTTAACAAAATGAGTATAATAATATAATATAATAATGTGTGTTAGTCGCTCAGTCATGTCCAGCTCTTTGCAACCCCATGAACTGTAGCCTGCCAGGTTCCTCTGTCCATGGGGTTTCCCAGGCAAGAATACTGGACTGGTTTGCCATTTCCTACTCCAAGGGAACTTCTCGATTCGGGGATTGAACCCACATTTCCTGCACTGGCAGGCGGATTCTTTCCCACTGCACCACCTGGGAAGCCCTAGTCACTAAATGTGTGTACTTTTATACTCCTATTTTAGCAGAAACAATTACCACAATGATGGTATCTTTTTAAGCACTTACTGTCATGTCTACTAACACCAAGATCCTAGATTTCTATAGTGGTATACTGGTTGACACTAATGCCATTTGTAATTATAAAAACATCAAAAGACAACTGGTCCTGCTGTGTAATTATAGACAGAAATAAAGGCTTCAGATCAACCATTCTAAAACTTTAGTATAGATTTTGTCACATATTCAACACATTGTAATTAGATTGTCTGATGGTATTTTAAATTCCTTTAGCAAATAAGATCTTACTCTGTCATCACAAAATCTTTAAGACTTTGGCAGGCTAACTCTTGCTTCCCCATGTTGGGATGAGGAAATATTAATGGATGTATAAATGTTTAAGGATAAAAAAGAGTGACTATTTTATGTAACAGGAAGATAAGAGCTGTGTTGCATGATCAGAGTCCAAAGAGGAGATACAAGAGATCTGGCATAGTCACAGGGGAATGTATCAGTGTCTGATGCAAGAAAGTGTATTTAACAATAATAAATGCATGTCATCTGGTCCCATCACTTCATGGCAGATAGATGGGGAAACAATGAAAACAGTGAGAGACTTCATTTTCTTGGGCTCCAAAATCACTGCAGATGGTGACTGCGGCCATGAAATTAAATGACACTTGCTCCTTGGAAGAAAAGCTATGATAAGCCTAGACAGCATATTAAAAAGCAGAGACATTGCTTTGCCAGTAAAGGTCCATATAGTCAAAGCTGTGGTTTTTCCAGTCGTCATGTATGGATGTGCGAGTTGGACCATAAAGAAGGCTGAGCGCTGAAGGGCTGATGCTTTTGAACTGTGGTGTTGGAGAAGACTCTTTGAGAGTCCTTTGGACTAAGGAGATCAAACCAGTCAATCCAAAAGGAAATCAACCCTGATTATTCATTGGAAGGACTGATGCTAAAGCTGAACCTCTGATACTTAGGCCACCTGATGTGAAGAGCTGGCTCCTTAAAAAAGACCCTAACTCTGGGGAAGATTGAAGCCAGGAGGAGAAGGGGACGACAGAGGATGAGATGGTTGGATGGCATCACTGACTCAATGGATAAGAGTTTGAGCAAACTCCAGGAGTTGCTGATGGACAGGGAAGCCTGGTGTGCTGCAGTCTGTGGGGTTGCAGAGTCAGACACAACTGAGCTACTGAACAACAAATAAATGCATATATATGTGTGTGTATATGTCACATATACACACACATATATATGCATATATATGTATATATATTGATGAATATATTTAACCACCAGTATTAGTGTGAATATTGAAATATATATATCCAGATTGAGAGGGGAAAAGCAGAAACCATAAACAAAGAGGGTGGGAATGGAATCAGCTATATGGCCTACAAAACACCTAAAAAGATAAGATGAAAAAGGATGAACAGAGAATTAAAAAAGAACAGATGTTAACAATATACCTGGACTTCCCTGGTGGTCCAGTGGTTAAGAGTCTGCCTTGCAGTGCAGGAGACACAGGCTTGATCCCTGATCCGGGAAGATCCCACAGGACACGGAGCAACCAAGTCCACGTGCGATAACTGCTGACCCCAGGCACTCTGAAGCCCATGTGCCACAGTTAACACTCAATGCAGTCAAATAAATAAACATTAAAAATGCAAGACCTGCAATTAAGTTTGAATTTCAAATAAACAATGAATAATTCTTTAAAAAAAAAAGTATAGCTGATGATATGAGAGAAATCAACACAGAAGACAAGAGAAATCAGGGGCAGAGAAGCTCACAGAATCAAAGTGATGGAGATAAATTTTCTAAGGAGACCATAAAGAGGAAGAGAAGGAGGAGGTGTGGCTATGTAGAAAGAGAGCAAATCTCTGCTGGATATGAAGAGTGGTCACTGGAGCAGATGTATTTCTCCTCCGCCCTCAGTTGTGAACATAGATTAGCTTCCTGTCATCATCTGTAGTCTGTTGTTTCCTTATTTCCCTTCAGTGTCCTATGGATTCAAAACTCTAAAAATAGAGTCAGAAGAGATGTCCGTATATCAGCATGTGATCGAAAAGCCTATTGTGATACTAGCTATCAGTTTTCTTTGTTTCCCTGTCTGCCCAGAGGAAAAGCTCTTCCTTCTTTAATAATAATGGATGTGAGTGAAGTGAAGTCGCTCAGTCATATCCAACTCTCTGCGACCCCGTGGACTGTAGCCTACCAGGCTCCTCCATCCATGGGATTCTCCAGGCAAGAATACTGGAGTGGGTTGCCATTTCCTTCTCCAGGGGATCTTCCCAACCCAGGGATCAAACCCGGGTCTCCCACATTGCAGGCAGACGCTTTAACCTCTGAGCCACCAGGGAAGCCCAGTAATGGAAGAGTTAGGCTGAAAAGATATTCTGAGTAAGTTTCTTCGAATTAAAAGATGTTTAAGTATGTTTCAAGTTTCACAAGATCCAAATGTCACCAGATTGGGAAGTTTTATAGAGGAAGATGGATAATTTTCAAGGTATCTCTAGGAACTTTACCATAAACATAAAGATAATAAAGTCTGTGATTGATAGGCCTGTGACGCAGGAAACTCATAGAGAATGGCAGAAGTAATAATAATCAATAGAGTGGCCAATGTCAAAAGAGTAAGCAAATAGTGACAATGAAAGTGGTAAACTGTGAGATGAAGCTAAATATCACTGAAGAAAAAACAGATAAATGCAAAGACTGTAATATTTTAAAGCCAAAAGATCAAGGTAAAATTGAAAGAAAAGAAAAATTAGAAAGGGATGTGACAGTATGAAGAGAATCACTTCAATAATAACACTAGCTCCAGAGACAGAAGCATAGAAAGCCAGATGGAATGAGATACATACAGGAAGTAATCAGTGGAGGGGATAAAGATGAGACACAGAGAGATGGTTGGATGGCATCACTGACTCAATGGGCATGAGTTTGAGTAAGCTCCAGGAGTTGGTGATGGACAGGCAAGCCTGGCGTGCTGCAGTCCATGGGGTCACAAAGAGTCAGACATGAATGAGCGACTGCACTGAACTAAATGGAGAGATAAATGGTTAAAAAATGAGGAAAAAAATGGTAGAGAGAGAATGGAGATAGTGAAAAAGAAAGAGAGGAGAGAAATGGAGAAGTTGTGGATCTGAGATGCTCATGAGACCAAAGCAACATTGTTCACAGTGACAGTGAGTTTTTAGGGTAAGGTGTCCCCAGGTATCAAAACGGCTCCTGTAACTCACCCAGTTTGTAAGAGATGTTGCCGTTGTGTTTCATGCACTCATCAGCTTCAATCACCATCTACAATCAAATTGTTCCTAAACCCACATTTCCAGCCCAGCCTGGCTCTGTCTTCTCTGCTTTCAAACTCAATTATCCAAGTATCAGAAAGATCTGGCCAAGGTCCTAAGGTTTTAAACTTCTCCACTTAGATATCTCTCAAAGACCTTCAAACTCTTTCAAAACTGAGCACATCATCTTTCCCCTGAAAACCAGTATCTGCTCCTCCAATGTTCTCTATCTCTAGAACACTTACTAACTGACTCATTATTTCAACTTGAACTTCTCAGTCATCCATGACACAGACATCTCAATTGACATAACCCATCTGTCATCTGAGCTTCCCTGGTGGCTCAGGGATAAAGAATTCGCCTGCCAGGGCAGGAGGTGCAGGTTCGATCTCTGGGTTGAGAAGATCCCCTGGAGGAGGAAATGGCAACCCACTCCAGTATTCTTGCCTGGGAAATCCCATGGACAGAGGAGGCTGATGGGCTATAGTCCATGGGGGTCACAAAGAATCAGACACGACTTAGTGACTAAACAACAACAATCTGTCACCTGACTCTATCAGTTATTCCTTTTAAATGTCTCCAGCCTGTCCACTTATTTCCATCTCCATGTCAGCACCCTTATCCATGTCCGTATCACTTCTCACTTGAACTAGTTCTACAGGCTCCTGTTTATTCTCCTTCTTCTAATATTGTTCCCACCAAACACAGTCTAAGTGATTTAGCTAAGTTGACCTTCAAAAATGCGAATGTGTTCATGCTGCTCTCCTATGTAATAGCCAAATGTCCTTTAATTTTCCTTTGGAATAAATTAATTCTTCTTTGAGTGACTTCCACACTCCCTACCTGAGGCCCCTGCATCTTTCTCCATCCTCATCATTGCCTCTCATTGTCTCACTCTGGTTCAGACACCCTGAACTCTTCTTGGTTTCCTGCACTTGCTGAATCCAGACTTTTATATGTGAGCTTCCATCCCTTTGGGGCTGTCATCTTGGTCACATTTCTCCCTAATCTGTTTACCTCCTGCTTCCATGATTCTTCTTCTAGAAACGGTCCCTCATTTCAAACCAGGCTAGTTCTTCCTGCCTTCTGCATCCCCAAAGTAGACTGTACAATATGTCTTAACAGTTTCCATGTTTCCATGAGCATCCCTCTTTATGCATCAGTTCCCTGGTTGCTCATAAGATTGATAAGCACTGATGCTTCCGTAGTCTTCTGCCCTGCATCATCACCATCATTTACCTCAGCACCTGACACGTGAGAGATGCTCAGCAACCTTGCTGAGTGAATATAAAAAAAAGTCTACCTTCTGCGTTTCAACATTTAGAAATTTGTCTGGCAAAAATTCACTTCTTACAGTATTTATATGAGAATATCTATTAAAGTTACTTTAATAATTGGATATGTTTATACATATAAATGTAACAAACAGCATTTTTGGAAAAGAATAGTGTCACATAAAAGTAAGTACAGATATATGTAAAAATGTTATCAATGAGTAGATTGGAGAAGTATATAAAGAAAAAAATAGAAAAATAAAAATGCATATTTGGGGTGAAGAGTAAAAGTAGATGAAAAGGACGGGATAAGGACAGTGAGGAGCAGCGACAAGAGAAAGAGATGTCAGAGATAAAGCCACCCTATGATGTAGGGGTCAGGGAAAGAGGAGGGGAGGAGGTGTAAGTGAAAATTTCCTTACTAGCCATAACTTAGGAGCAGAGCTCCAAGGACTTAGAAGTGCTCCTATGTCATATATTCTTCAAAAAGTGTTCCAAGAGGCCAAGAAACAATGACTGAAAGTCACAAGCATTGATAGGATGGGTAAGGCCACCCAAGTTCAAGGTAGAGGTGGTTGAATAGATATCCCAGACCCAGGGGCAGCTGTGGAAGGTGATCAGTGTTCAAGAAGAACTTCAAGCAGCTCCCAACAGGGGGTGGACCAGTTACAGAAGGTGAAGGTCACAGGACCTTGGGCTGCAGGATGTCAGGAGTCTGAAATCAGAGCTCCCACTTCTGATGCGCTTGAGTCTAAACACACTTTGACAGGGAGTGTGCTCAGTCCTCATCACAACCCTATTCTCTGCCCTCACTTGACCTGACCCTTTGGGGAACTGCAGGGAGGAAAGAATTCTGTTTAACAGAATGGGTCCAATTGATTATACCTGGATGATGTAGTTGAAATACACTGGTGAAATTGACAATATCATGGGGCAAAGAAATAAATGTGTTCTTCTGCTGGAAAATAGTTTTGTCACAACCTTGAAAAGACCTCAAAAGACAAACAATCCTTTACCCTATCAGAAAAAAAAGACCTCAGACAACTATTTGTAAGCTCACCAGATAGTTTTGGAGGAGGCCTTCTAACATGTTACTGATTTATACAGTGATTTCTCATTAGCTTTTGCAAATAAGGTCTTACTTAATCTTCATACAAAATGTAAGATCTGAATGGCATACCTGTTGTTATCCCTGTTTCATAAATGAGGAAACTGATGCACATAAGTAGTGAAGAGATTTTTCAGTTTTACAGTTTTTTAAAGTTTCTGACCACCACCTGTTACTTTCTAGATTCCATGGATATTGGAAGCAATTCTACTTTGGGAAAACACAGTGGGAAAAGAAGTAAGACTGCATAAGAATTTACTCAATTTTCATGTTACAAATGAACTATTTTTTAAGGCTAAAATTTATTATATTTTCTATACCTTTAATAAGAAAAAGATTAATGCCTTTTAAAGTAATTATTTTTCAAAATACTCATATCTTCATGTAAATATCTTACTTTTTATTCTTCCTTTAAAATGTTTCTTATAAATATTGATGTATACATTTCAGAATTTTTCTATGCATGTGCTAACACCTTTTGTAATACAGTTTTATTTATCTAAATAGAGTAATTCTATGCATACTCTCTCTTAAAAATTATATCATACCTAGAAAATTAAAATACATAACACTTTAAATTGAAATACAAAAAACCTTTTTTAAAGGATGCTTTAACATGCCCTATTTTCATCTTTAGTGTGGTTGGGTATATTCCATTCGTTATTGGTCATTTGTTTTCCTTCTTCATAGAACGCTTTGTCATGGAATGCTCGGTCAGTGCTTCCTGTTGTGATGTTTTTCTTTTTCTTACTATACTGCATGACTATGGACATCTTTGTATCAGATACATGCACACTAAATCTTGGTCCTATACGTTCCTAATATTTTGTCCCATTTGTTGTTTTTTTTTTAGGTTTGTTAACAGAATATTTTGTCTTAAAGAAGTTATAAATTTTTAGGAGGTCAAATTTGTTAGCCTTTTTCTCTCTAGTTCTTTGGTTTCCTATCATATTTATAATAGCCATTTCTAGATTTTTAAAAAATATTGCTCTATATTTGATTCTAGAATATTTGAACTACCTGATAATTTTTAATATTTTCATCAAAATCCCATGAGTTTTGACTATTTGTGTATAGGCACTTTGATCACACAGCACCTTTACTTGTCTGAATATTAGTTTTTCTTTTATAAAACATTGCAGGAGGAAAGGGAGAGCTCAGAAGTAGCAACAGACTGAAGCTAGGGGTGAATTTTAGAATTGGCTCAAGAAGATTCTCTCCCTCTCCTTCCTAAGTTCTTTGGAAACTCTAACTAGAAATACATTGATTTTGCAAAATAATTTAGGGAGAACAGAGACATACCCATTTATTTATGTCTTATTTAATGTTCTTCCACTAAGAATTTTCTTACCTTTTAAAAAAATTTATATACTGTGCACATTTGTTTCCATCTATGAATATCTTTTTCCCATTACAAAAGAGCTGGAATAAATTTAAATGAGATAAGACTCTCAAAATCTTTTTAAGTAGGAAATCTATGGTCATTTTATTGCCTATTTGCATATGAGGAAATCAGAATGCCAGGGATCTTTTTCTGATTTAATATGAAATCTTAGGAGCATCTATATAGTAGTTTAAGGATCCACCTGTCACTTAAAATATTAGGGCCAGGCCTTCCAATGATCAAGACAACCAATCAGAATTAAGTTTCTTAAGAAATTTGTAATAAGTGGCAATACTTTCTAATGAGGGGAGTATTACAAAACCCTTCCAAATAACTCTTTCAAGGCAAATTTATATTACAGAGAACAGAATAAATTGGTAATGGTTACAAACAGACATGTCTTACCTTCTTATGAAAATTCTCAATTTAATACTGTCAAGGCAATTCTTGTTTTGAATTTATTTACTTATTTTAACTGGAGGATAATTACCTTATAATATTATGATGTTTTTGCCATACATCAATATGAATCAGCCACAGATATACACACGTCCTCTCCATTCATATGCTTTACATGGGACATCTCTCCCATGTAAGGCAATTCTTTATGTTAGTTTTATGGTACATAATTCTGTCTCTCCTTCTACAGCTATGGGTTGAGAGGACTTCCCCTTGCTCTCTTTGTGTAATTCTTTGTTAGGTACAAAGGCTTACATTTTAAAAATCTGGTCTCTGGAATTTGATTAGTTAGCCTTGTACAAAACACAGGCCCATAGAGTTGGATTTTGTTGGCAGAAGTAGAGAAAGTATTTGGAAAGGATCTTACCTAAAAACAGTAAAATATGACGAATATAGATTTTTCTATTACAGTCTCCATCTTGTTGCTAAATCTGAATTAGTTTGAGATTCTTTATCTTTTTCCTGTTCTGATTTCCTTTCTTGTCTTCACCTAAATATATAATGCAAATGATTTGTTCAGTGATTTAAGTGAGGATATTTACAACATCTTTCTTAAGACTATCTCTCTCATATAGTATTTAATAAGTATTTACTACTTACAGGCTAATTATTATTCCCAGCATCATCAAAATACTTTCTGTATTATTCTTTGATCTCCAAATACTGAGGACCCTTTTTCATACACCTTCTATTTATCAGACCATCCTTATGGGCCTCATCCCATTTGCATTTTCACCTCTCAACTTACCCATTTCACACTCTCAACCCTTCTACAACTTCTTCCTGAAAAATCAGACCACATCTCTACTAATCGCTGCTAAAACTCAATCTTTCTTCATGGTACTCATTTTGGGTGAAGATATGTAAACAGACTTCAAAAGTGAGCATTATTACTGGTGTTGTGTGGGAATTTAGCATAACTGAAGGAAAAGCCAGATTTGGGTATCCCCAGAAACAAAGGTATAGAAGGCTTCCAAGATTTTGAAAGACTTCGGCCAAGCTTGCACTCATGCTAAAGACTGAGTTGCTGTTGGCTATAGATAAAACTCCCATAGCTTATCCTATAGAACATGGCAGGATAATTTACAATGATTCCCTACTTCCACAGAAGAAAGAAGTGAACTCAGAGCTTCCTTTTTAAAAAAAAATTCTGAGTTTCACCCAGAGGCAAAGAGTCAAGAGTCTCATTTGCAACATAGACCAGGGTCGGGTCACAATAGAGGTTCCCAGTGACAAATATACATATTGACACAGCCTCACAATCTAGCAACCTTAGGTGCTAAATGCAAGGTGGGAACCTCCATATTTTTCCACCAAGATGAGACCAAGAAGGACTAATTCCACAAGATTAAGTCAATGTCATACCCCAAATACGTGGAGTGATTTATGCCTCCAACTATCCTTGGCCCAGGTTAAAAGTACTCGCACCACGTGGAAGGTGAGAAGAAACTCTGCACTAGAAATAGTTAAGCTTCTGTATATTGACGCATCTAAGAATGTGTTGGAAGAGTAATTTAAATGAATAATTCTATCAGTTTGTGAAAAGTTTAATCCAAGTATATGATTCTATACTTAAATCTGGGGGAAAAAATGTTGAAATAAAGGGAGGGATAAGGAAATGTTAGGAAACTACAAATTAGAAGGTTGGTCAGTTTTCATTGTTGGTTGTTTGTCATATACAGTGATGTAATCAGTGCTGTTGGCTAAGGAATATTCTCTGTAGATCTCATTGCGATTGTAAGGCTGCCTCTACACCACATGCTTCCAAGAGGACTATACAGATTGGCCATAGATGAACAGCTCTGCTGACCTCATGGGTAAGGCAGGAGTAGGCAGCAGGCGTGGGGAGCATGGCGGATGGGGAGGCAGACCTCCTCCAGGGATCCTGGGCTTTAGGCCTGAAGGGATCTCTTCTAACAAGCTAGTTTCTCCAGTCAAGAGGATGAAGCTGGGTGGCCTATCAGAGGGAGGTCTGGTCATGGTCTTTCTGACTGGGAGGTTGTTGGCTGCTTCTTGCCTCCTAACACCTGGTGGGTCTTGGCATCACTGTGGTCAGGTGAGTAAGCTGGGAGAATTTGATGCACTCTCTTGTCTGCTAAAGATGATCTCTACTTGCTTATAGCTCCTTCCTGGTCATTTGTTGGTACTGTTGATGAGAGAGTTGATGGTTGTGGTACTGTTGGTGGTGATGGTCCCTTCATATGACTTCCTGTATCTACATGTTGGAGTGTAGCTGAGATTTCATCCCTAGGTATTTCATCCAGTCTGGTAGCTATAAATTCTATCCATATGTTAATGACCACCAATTTTATCTCACCTCCTTTGGTCCCTCTATTGAACTGCCAAGTCAAAAGTTCAACTTCTGACTCCAAACTTCATCTTGGAGTCTCAGATTTGACACATGAAACCCATTTCTTTATTTCACTCCCAAACCTGTCATCCACCACCTTTCTCTCACTAAATGGCATTATTTCTACTCAGTTGCTTGAGTCAAAAGTATAGAAAAATGTGCTTGATTCCTCTTTTTTTTTTCCCTAGTCCCTCCACATCAATTCACAAAAATGTTTCAAAACTATATATATTAAAAAAAAAAAAAGAACCAAATAGAAATTCTGAGATTGAAAAGTATAATATCTGAAATCAAAAACAATGAAAAAATTGGGTGGACTCAAAATACATTGTGTGTGTGTGCATGTGTATACCGATACAGCCAGTTCTCATTATTCATGGTATAGAGGTTGTATGAAGTCACCCCAAACACAAAGTAGCTAGCATCAAAACTTTGCTTCCAAAAGAAATAGAGGGTTTGGTTCCTGTGAGCCTCTGGTCCTATTTTTATAAACCAATAAATATATATCTTTGTTTCATGAGTGTTTCTGTTTAAAGACATCTAATTTATTGTATATGTTGATTCATTAATGTTGAACCCATATTCAACGGCATTATAACTCACGCCTGATTGGAGCTCATCTAAAACACGTGTTTTCTCCATAAGACACGTCACAGTTTTAAGAACACTAGACAGCACTTCAGCACTAGGCTTGAGGCCATTTTAAGCCGCATAATTACCAACAAAAAAAAAGCACAAAAATGAGAACATGAAATTAAGTAGATTGCAAAAGGATGCATGTTTACAAAATGAGCTGAAACAAGGAGGCAGAGCTTTGTCTTGCTCAGCCTCTGCTGGGAACACGCATGTCTGGCTCCACACAAATTATTCACTGCTCTGCACACCACCATGAATGACCATGGAAGCACCATGAGAACTGACTTGGGAGTTTCAAATTAATTTTGGAGAGTGGGTGACTTCACAGATTTGAAATATGTGAGTAATGAAGATTGGCTGTATATATACATAGCTTCATTCTTTCTAGAATTAGTTTTTTAAATTAAA